AGAAAATAATAGTGGAAGGGTATTTTTTTAATTCTTATAATTTTTTTAAGAGAGAGAGAGAGAGAAAGAGAATTTTAATATTTATTTTTAGTTATCGGCGGACACAACATCTTTCTTTTGTATGTGGTGCTGAGGATTGAACCCGGGCCGCACACATGCCAGGTGAGTGCGCTACCGCTTGAGCCACAACCCCAGCCCAAATTCTTATAATTTTTAAGAACTTACTATTAAAATTTTTCTAGATTAAAAAAAAAAAGCAAGGGCCAACAGCTTACCTGGCAAGGCAGGATACAAACCCAAGGTCATCTGTTTCCAAAGCCTTCATGTATCCAAAGAGTGGCAATGGTAAATTAAAACCAGAGGGGCTGGGGTTAAGTAGGAGAATTCACCCACATCCACCCCATTTGCACAAACCTAGACTGTGGGTCCAGTTACCAGGGACTACTAGCCAATGCAGGCATGATACAAGACCCTTCTGCAGAGCCATGAGGAAGACTCGGCTTTATTTTATTTCTTTGTACATCTTTTATGAGTGCATGCTGAGGATCAAACCTGGGTCCTTGCACATGCTAAGCACATGCTCTCAGCTCTACAACCAGCCCTTGTTTGCACGTCTTGATATCAGTACTACCAAGCATACTAACTAGATCTCATTTGCCACCCATCCCTCTTTTGTCCTATTTGTATGACCTTATGCTGATGGAGTTCTCCCCAGGGAAAAGGGAATCAGTTCTCTTCATGGAAAGACAGACTTCTTCCTATAGCAAGTAACAGGAGAGGCCTGATTTTTACTGATTTTTAATTTATTATGGAAGTTGACCGCCTCAAAAGTTAAAAAGTGAAAACTGAGTAATTTGTTGTCCAGGGAAGTAAAACATTTCTTGTTCTGCTTTTAATGCTCAAAATTTAAAGGACTTCAGGTAATAGGGACACTGGACAATGAGAGTCTCGCAGACCTGGTCATCGACGAAGAATGGGCTCCATGACCCCAGCATCAAAGCTGTTATCTTACTGTAATAAATTAGCCCTGGAGCTTTCTGTCCAATGTTACAGTAGGTAGGATCTTGTCTCTGGTTAATACGATTAGGCAGCTTTCTCAATGACCTCTCACTCCTATCATGCCAAGAGTAACTTATTTTATATCTTCACATCTTTTCTCCTACTCTTATTTATTCTTCCCAGATTTGTCCTGAGCTACTTTATCTCTTCTCCATTAGGGCTCCTACCACTTCCCACTCCCTAAGACCCACCACCTAGAAAAGGGTGCACTTAGTCCAGTAAGTTCAATGGGCCCTCATTGGGTTCCTTTCTGTTTGTGGTCCTGACTTTCAAGAGCAAACTTCAAGCACAGATGTGGAGTTTGCACCTGGTCAATAATACCCAGCCAGATCATGGGATGCTTTAGTTAAACCATGTCCATGGGCCAGAAGACCAAAAGGAGACTGTTCAAAAAAAGTAAGTGGGCAAACAAACAAATGAGCCTGATCCTATTAAAACATTTTTGGAAGGAAGAGGAAATAAAGATAAATAAAAATACCTAGGTTTTATCTATCCCCATACCCACCCTTTATCTCTGCAGAATTCTCCTGAAGTCTTCAGCATCCACATCTACAAAACAATCAGCCAGACTATAAACATAGGGGATAGAAAGGAATAGAAAGTATTCCTTTTCTTCCTGTGTTTTCACTAAGAGGAAGGGTAAGGAGGGAACTGGGTTTTACACTCCCTGAGGACCTTCTCTGCCACCTGACTCCCAGCCCCCAAGTCAGGGCCTTCTCCCTTACAGAGAGAGACTCCATGTGCATGCAAAGATCTACATTTTTCACTGGGGCTCTCAACATGAGCCCATTCTCTATGCCTCTGACTTCTCAATTCTTAACAGCATTATACTTATCTAGAGTCCAGGTTGCCACCAGAATTCTAAGTTTACCTTCTCTCCAGACCCACAGGTAAACAGTATGGCTACTGACAGAGGTTCACAAGATAAGTAAGAGGTAAAGCAGACATCTTCCAAGTTGCTGAGTGAATGTTATCATGAAGTCATTCTGTGGGTCCCCTTGTGCCAGGAGGTTGTCAGCTCTTCTAATTCATAGAACAAGTCATCAATATTTCCACAAATAGTCTGTTTCCAGTATACCAAGTCGCCTAAGGCATTTTAGAAATTCAATTCTTTCCTCCACAGGTTAGTGTTAGGGCAGTGAAAAGCAGATAGCCATAGTTAATTTAGTTTTTAGATAATATATGCATTATCTTCCCCCTCCTGAACCTTTTTTTAGGGAGGCAAAAAGATCATGGAAATGTGAACTTATCCTTTGCCATAGTTAGTCACTTATCTCCAAGGAAATTACAGGGCAAGGGAGAAAATGAGCTAATGAGTCTTACCTATAAGCATTCCATCAGGCTCCACCTACAGGCATTTGTTATTAACCCATCAATGGCATAATTCCAAAAGATTGAGAATAAAGGAGCAGAAATCACTAAGCATTTCTGGGAAACTTATGAACAAATAAAATAATGCATCTGTTGTTATTGTTTTTTGTTTTTGTTTATTTGCAGTGTCCGGACTCCTAAACTGTCCGACTTTGAGGATGTTGTGAATAGAGATACAGAAAATGGATGCCCTTCTCTTAACGTCTGCAAAAGGTGAATATCTCCCAGCTAATAGTAATAATACCAATATCAACCACAATGGGAAAGAACTGTTTTATTTCTGGTTTTAACTGAAGACAAATCAGTATATCCTCAGCCCAATGGTACATTTATATGGCAAAGGTATGGGATATAGCTATGAAGAGACTAGACTCCTGCCCTTGTGGTGCCTAGCTTCTAGTTCTGAGGGTCATTTTTCCCCTTTCCATGTGACCACCTCTTGCCATTCAGGAGAAGGGATCTTCCTTTTCAGAGTCTCCTTAAGGTTGCTGGAGGCAGCTCCTCAACCTGCCTGTTTCCAGCTCCAAAGACTTGAGTTACTCAGGAAACAATGAGGTTGAAAATTCTCCTACCTCCACCCTACTTCCTTGCCCCAGCACTCCTTTTCAGACTCCCTGGCAGACAAAAGACAACTCCACAGGAGAGTGCCCAGTGGGGTGGGTCCTAGCCCTACCTGAAATGAAGGTCAAAAGAAGGGCAGATGCAGTTGATGGAGGCTACCATAGGGGGAAAGCAGGGCTGCAGGTGGGGTGGGGTCCTTTCCTTGGCAGCCAACGATATTCTTTGGCCAGGAATCTCCCACTGCCCTTTCTGATCCTTTCTCCCTTCCCAGAGTTCTCTCTCCCCATAAAATAAGAATGAGCCCTCTTGTCCTGGTGAACCTCAAAAATTCAAAGGAGGCTAACAGTCATTAAGAATCTCTTTTATCCCTGGCCAAATCAATGCCGCTTTACCAGGCTAACTTCTTGTCCCAACCCAGTCCCCTCCCCAGATCCAGGGAACTATCAATTCTCAAGGCTAGAGCTAGGTAGACCCTCCCCACCCCACCCCACCCCACACAGAGACACTCATTCACTATTCCATTCTTAATCGACCCCCCCCACCTCAATAAACATGCATCCAATCTCCAAACCCCATCATTCTCCCAAGCACAAACTAACAGAGCCTTCCAAGGCTCTGTCATTTTGCCCACCCCATTCTCAATGCCTTTAAAACTCTTTGAATAAAGACAGGGGACTGTGTACGTCTTCTACACAAATGGTGGAAAGCAATAAAATAAACATCAAAGATGAGCTCCCACGTACTCGAGGCCCCGTCACTATTTCCAACAAAGGCAGGAAAAAGGAGGAAACTTCAGCATGGTAGGCAGCGGATTGGAAGTGTACTGTTCCTGAAGACCAGGGCCCCTTTTCCCGGGAGTGCTGACACCCCACAGGCTTCAGGCCCCTAGGGCCCTGCCGCGGGTCAAGGGCCGCCTCCTTTTCCGGACTGTTCAACACAGGTGCCACGGAAGCCACAGTAAAAGTCCTAAAGGAGGACTGGAGAGAAATGGCGGTAAATTTGTGATGCTCTTGGCCCAGGCCCTCGGGAACACGCCCTCCTAGTTGTTCCTGTTGATTGTCGGAGTCCAGAATAATGGGGCTGAGCTCAGCTGGCGTCTCAGGGGCGCAAGTGTAGGCAAGAGCCCCGCACAGAGCACCAAACACAGCCACCCCAGGAGGGTGAATGGGGACGCCACTGCCCTTCCCCAAGAGCCATTAGCCAGGTAAAGTAAGACAAAAGAAAAGTGAAAGTCAGAGGCCATTTAGCAAGCAAGAGTCATCAAAAACGGAGCATACAATTTCCACCCTGTGTTTTACTCATAAAAAGAAGGCGAGAAGACAAAAGGTAGTCTTTGGAAGGAAATCACAGGAAGGGGCACAGCACTTGGCTCCGGAAAGAAGTCCCTGCAAAGTATGTCCTGGGCGGCTTCTGCCATTCAGAACCTCTGCAGGGATGGAAGAACTATGCTTTCCTAAGAAGCACGATTTTCATTACAAGCAAACTCAAGCCGCATGCAGTTTAGGAAGGCCACAGGCCTGAGTAACTTCCCTGCTCCCCGCTGGACCCAACCCTCTCAGGTGCCTCCCTAGGAATATCCAGGGGTAGTCTCCCCCGCCAGGCACACTCGCCCAATCGCCTCCAGGAACTCCAGGTCGCAGGAACCCCAGGTCGCAGGAACCCCTCCCTCACCGCTGGAGGCCGGGTGCCCACACCTGAGCGCTGAAGCGGGAGGGAGAGCGGAGCCGCCCCACAAGCGCGCGCACAGGCACACTCACAGACACACGCACCCCCAGCCGCGCGCACGCTCCTCATTGGCGGGAGGAGGAAGGCGGGGCCGGCCAGACCCAAAACAAACAACCTGCGCCCAGCTACTCTGCGGCCGCGCCGCCGCGTGGCCTCCGCCTGGTGCGCGCCCGCGGGGTAGCCGCGGCCACCTTGGCCACCTCGTTCCCCCACCCCCTAGCTGTCTGCGCCCAGGCCCCGCCCCCAGAGAGCTGCCGCAGGGTTAAATTGGGCCGAGCCGAAGGTGGAGGCGAGACTCAGCTGCGGCCGGCCAGCGCGGACATGCTGCCCCAGAGGCCGGGGGCGGGAAGGCGGCTGCGGGTGCAGCGGCCTCGAAGTCTCGGCTCCACGGGTGCTAGCGCCTAAAGGCTCTGGATCCTCCTCCAAGGGTGACGTGCACATCATCCGGCAATATCTCCGTACCCCGAGAACGCCTGCCTGCTTGGGACCTGGGTCTCCAGTGAAGAACCTCTCCTGAACTCTTTAACGGATAGCAGATGCTCCGGCTTCTTTCCAACAAGAAATTCTTCTAAGCCCCGCGCTCTCGGCACTAGAGAGGGTGAAACTGCAGCCCCCAAACGCGTTCACCCCTAAGTCTGTAATCCCCGAACTAAAGACAGCGCTCACCCAACTCCTCCTGCACCCCTTTTGGTCCACCCAACTCACAGCCCCTCAAAAAATAAATCCAAAGGAAGAGGACTCTTACACGGAAAAGTGTGTCTCTCCGAAGGACGAAGGAGGGTTCCTGGGAAAGAAAGACCAGGACACGGAGCTCCGCGATTGCCTCTCCTGCCCCTTCCTAAGACTGCGCTAAAGAAAAGGGTACGGCACGGGGCGGGGACTGGGCATGAAGTTAGAGGTGTTCGCCCCCCGCGCGGCCCACGGGGACAAGCCCGGCAGTGACCTGGAAGGTGCGGGTGGCAGCGACGCGCCGTCCCCGCTGTCGGCAGCCGGCGACGACTCCCTGGGCTCGGACGGGGATTGCGCGGCCAACAGCCCTGCGGCGGGCGGTGGCGCCGGTGATCCGGCGATCGGCAGCGAGCACAGCTCCGACAGGGGCCCGGGTACCCAGGACGAGGGCCCGGCGGAGGCGACGACAGCGGCGGCGGCTGCAGGTAGAGCGGAGGCCGGCGCGACAGGTCGGTGCGCTGGGAGCGTGGCGGGCGGCGAAGGCGCACGCAGCAAGCCGTACACGCGGCGGCCCAAGCCCCCGTACTCCTACATCGCACTGATCGCCATGGCCATCCGCGACTCGGCGGGCGGACGCCTGACGCTGGCCGAGATCAACGAGTACCTCATGGGCAAGTTCCCCTTTTTCCGCGGCAGCTACACCGGCTGGCGCAACTCGGTGCGCCACAACCTCTCGCTCAACGACTGTTTCGTCAAGGTGCTGCGCGACCCCTCGCGGCCCTGGGGCAAGGACAACTACTGGATGCTGAACCCCAATAGCGAGTACACCTTCGCCGACGGGGTCTTCCGCCGCCGCCGCAAACGCCTCAGCCACCGGGCTACAGTCCCCGCACCGGGACTGCGACCCGAGGAAGCCACTGCCCGCCCCAACGTCGCGCCCCCTCCACCCGCGCCCCCTACCCCTGCCTCTCCTCGAGCGCGCTCGCCGGCACGCCAGGAAGGACGCGCCAGCCCCACGGGCAAGTTCTCCAGCTCCTTCGCCATCGACAGCATCCTCAGCAAGCCCTTCCGCAGCCGCCTGGACAAGGACGCGGGCCCCGGGGTACAGGGGGTACAGCTGCCGTGGGGCACCTCGCCCTGCGCACCGCTGCCCACGTATCCCGCACTGCTCCCCGCGGCTCCTGGTGGGGCCCTGTTGCCACTCTGTGCGTACGGCGCAGGCGAACCGGCGCTGCTGGGCGCGTGCGGGTCTGAACCGCAGCCCTCAGCGCCACCGCCAGCCCCGCACCTCCTGCTAGCGCCCCTTTCTACCGCCACCCCAGCTAAGCCATTCCGAGGCCCAGCGGCTGGCGGCGGCGCGCACCTGTACTGCCCCCTGCGGCTGCCCGCGGCTCTGCAGGCGGCCTCGGCCTGCGGCCCTGGCCCGCACCTGCCCTACCCAGCACAGACACTTCTGGCCTAAGCCATGCTGCTGAGCCCCGAAACTGTAGGTGCCATAGGGGACAAGAAGAATGCAGGCTCGGCGGGCTGTGCACTTTCTATCCAGTGAAAAGGAGACTTAAAAAAAAAATCAAACGTGCCTTAAAGCTAAAACATTTTGACAGAAGTGTTGTAACTTAGTCCAGAGTAGTTTCCCTTGTTTTTGATAACTTTACAGAGGACCAAAGCAGTTTTTATTATTTTAAGTTCTTGGCCGGGCCTGTCCTCTCTCCCTTATAAAGACTTCTCTCTCCTTACTACCCAGGCTGTTCCCTACTCCTCCTATGTTTGTTGCACCTTCCATTGATTCATTCCCCTCCCCCCAAAGCACATCAGGGAACCATTCTATAGGATAAATGATAATGACTACTGTTTGGGGTTTATTGGACCCCACTCCTGTACGTATGTGGTATTCACATGTGCGAGTGTGAGAGAGGTGTCAGAAAACCTTCCGTCACTTCTCTGCTATTGACCAATGCTTCACTGTGCCAAAAGAGGAAAAAAAAATGTTGGGTTTTGTAATTAAATTATTTATATATTTTTGAAACCTGAATCGAAAATGTTGCAGGCAACGGCTACAGCTTTATTAGTGGTTCTCTAACTGTGGTCTCTTTGGGCCAAGTAATTTCTTTAAAGGAAGAGTTAACATGTTTGTGGGGTGCCAGTCCACTTCCACATGAAAGCAAGTGTGATTTTTATTTTTAATATTATTTTATTTGTGTCTGTGTATATATTCGTGTATAAATTTTATGAAACCCAGGCATAGTGCTTATTTTTTAATAAAACCCACAATTGACTTATACACTTTGTGGTGATCAATTGGAGAAGCTTTTTGCCTTTACCCCACAAAAATGGGTTCAGGTTTGAGTGTCAAGAAACATCACCCAGGGATCAAAATATTTTCCACCATACTTTAATAAAGGTGGAAGCAGGTTTCCTTACCACACACACACACATTTCCAGGATAGGCCTTCCACAAATGATATTTCTTATTACCTTCATAAGTACTCATCTGAGGGTTATCAGAGAAATGATAAGATGTGCATGCCTCTCTCCCCCAAGAATCCTATTAGGAGGCTGATTGAGCTACAAGCATTTAGTCAAACCAATATTTTCAAGGAAATTGTATTTGGGTTCAAAAGGCTGTAAACTTTTTTTTTTTATTATTAAGACTATCACACCAATGAGTCTTCAAGCAGCTTTAAGAGCAACATAACTGTCAGAGCTTTTGTCAAAACAACACTATCCACCTTTTCAGGAATACAGAGGTTCATTTGGGTGTGGAAAAATGGTGGGGTTTTTTGTTTGTTTGTTTGTTTGTTTGTTTTTTCACTCCCCGAATTTGTGAAGCTATCATTTGTAGAGGTGGACAGTTGTTTTCAAATTAAGTTCAAAGGCAATAGGAACCTTGACAATTTATAGATTGCAAAATTCTAAAGAGAAATGGAAATGGTTTAGAGACAGGAAACAGGCCTCACTGTCAGCCCTACTATTCTTATCCAATGCAGGAAGATGGTTTGTGATTTAGGCATAATAAGATGAGGAAACAAAAATGTAACCTATTTGAAGATGCCCCTCTTTAGCAGGAATGGGAGGAAAAAGCCCATGCCCAAGTCTAGCTAACAAGTAACAAGTCTTGACTGATTTTGGTTATACCTACTTAGTAGTCATAAAGAGTGATAATAACAGGGTTGAATTATGACAAAAGGGTAGATATTTGCACCCACAAGGCTGATAATTACACAGGAAAAATAAAACAGACCAGCAACTGGAGGAAGAGGCAACAGGTTCACTGGGTTGAAATTATCATGCTCAACCCTGAGCTTTAGTCTTGAAAACCATCTGAGACTGAAGGACAGCTGGAAGTGAGTAACCTCAGGTGCTGCCCACCTGATCCCAGCAGGCCATTTCTCTCCAACGGTGTGCCATCTCTCCACAGGCAAAGTGCTGCCTGCTTTTAAGTCCTTGTGTAAAACCACTATTTTCATTTCCACAGTGAAAATAGTCCCGCAATGGGAGATTTTATTAAAAACACTGCTGTCCTCTGGTTTCTCTTCAGACAGTACAAATCTTTCGCCTTTTACTAAAATGGTTGCTAACTTATTGATATTAAAGAACACAGAAACAGCAATGTCAAAGAGAAAAGGGGAAAGGCAATGTTTTAAAAAATCACAACCGTCTTCACCTCCGAAGGAAGGAAGGAAGGAAGGAAGGAAGAATTGATTTCCTTCGTAATGAACACTTCGAGATCCAACAGACTGCGGTGCCCTCCGTGGCCTCTGGTCCCCTTCTTTGTTTTCCCAGGGCCTCCTGCAAGGTTTCTAAGAATTGTCACAGTCACAGGAGCTTTTCTCCTCTGTTCCGCGTTCTATGACCAGTTCCAAACTCCAATCCCATGACACAAAGGACAGTCATTCTTGGTGGGCGGGGAGGAGGGTCCCAGGGCGCTGTCGCCCCTTCCCCACCCCTCCTTCACACCCCCAGCCGGGAATTTCGGTTTCTGGGTGCTGGTAAAGAAGGGCGACAGTAGGAGCTTCCGTTTTCTCAAGGAACACGGAAAGTTGAACTGACGCTATTGGTTCGGGCGACGCTGGAGTTTGGCAGGAAACGCGCGCCGCAGCGGAGACACGGGTCTTCAGAGGTGAGACTCATCCGATGGAAGGATCCGGGCCTCCACCGTAGCTTGGGCAGTGTGAGCTCTGCAGCTCTCCAAAGGCTGTCCCTTCCAGCATCCGCCCAGAAAACAAGATTCCTCCCTGGCGCGGAGAACTCAGGGTGGAAAGCCTGAGCCCGCTGGGGAATCTGGCCGCGCCCACCACATGGCCCCCAGGCCAAGGGCAGGGTCCATCCTTCTCCCAGCCTCCAGCCCCATCCCCACCCCCTTCCCACAACCCGCAGCACCCTGAGCCCCAGAGCGCCCCTCTCGGCCAAAGGGGCCGCAGCACAGCTGTGCATACACCAGGCTGCGGGGCCTGGGCTAACCCGGGGCCACGCGGGACAAGGAACTGCTGGGCGGGGGTGAGGGCTGGGTTTGGTTTGGGAAGTACCCTCTGGCACTTGTCAGACCTGCCTGGAGATGGGCCAGCGGGGGCGAGGCCTCAGTCGGTCAATTCTCAAAGAACCCTAGCTCCCACCACCTCAGCCAACCCGTGTGTAGGGGCTTTGTAGCCACTTTTGCCCCAGCTACCTAGAAAACCTCCGGACCCACGATGGACAAGGAAGTGGAGAGAACCGTACCACCTGGACGTCTGCCTGCTCCATTCTGCACTGCCACGCCCTCTCCACAAAGATCAAGTCTCCTGCCCTCCTTTGGTCAGAGCTCCTTTCTCTTCGGAGCACCCTTATGGTAAATAAAGGTCCAGGTGCTGAACTTGCTGTCTCCTTACCCACTTCACACTCTGCTGCCTGTAAGTCAGGACGATAGATAGAGAACTTCAGCCATCCTGGGATGGGTCACTCCAGCCCCTTAGCTTCTGCATCAGAAACCTAATGCTCCTTCTACAACTGAGGCAGATTCTAAACTCCTCGTGAAAAATAAATAAATTTAATAAATAAAATCAGCGGCAGCAGCATCTCAGCAGCCCCAGCCCTAGCAAATAAGTCCTCTTAATATCTGCCTTAGGGTTGACTTTGACTTTGCTGTCCCCAATGCACATATGTCCCCTCTGGTTCCACTGTCCCAACAATTTCACTAACTTGACGTTTTTCTGATATAAGAAATGTGTGTTCAGACCTAACAAAGCTAAATTCATCCACTCTTTTGGATAGACTCATACTTTCAAGTAAGGAAACCTAATTTTATACACAAGGAAAAAGGGACTTACAGTGTGTCTTTAAACATTCCTTAATCAACCCAGAGGTTCCAACTCCCAATTTAGGATTCCTCACTGCCCCCCCCCCATTTGGGATGGTGGAAACTGGGGATGAATCTAGCTCTAGGCAAGAATTCTACCACTGAACTACATCCAATGCTTTTTCTTTTTTCTTTCTTTAGACACAGTCTTACTAAATTGCCACTGGGCTGAGCTTGAACTTGAAATCCTCCTGCCTCAGCCTCTTGAGTAGCTGGGATTTGCAGGCATGTGCCACTTCACCCAGGTAGAATTCTTTTCACTGGAACGCCATTATTTGGAGAATTCAGACACAAACATACTTTGGCCTGAATTTAGTTGAAACATTCATATAATTGTCTCAATTCACTTTTTATAACAATGATCAGTAGATTTCCCAAATTGGTGAATGGTTTCTTTCATTATTAAGAATTTAATCCCTATTCCTCCCCAAGAACGGTCCTTCTCTAGAAGTGGCCATATAGTCACTTTGCCTGAGAGACCTGGATGCCAGCATCTGAGACTCCAGCTTTCATATATTATGCATGTTCAGGCCACTAGTGAATATGGCATTACTTTCTCTTGCTTCTGCAGAGTGGCACATATTCTTGCAGAGAATAGCAAGGGGAATTCTGCTACTCTCTGAGAGAAAGGAGTATCTACAGGTATTATGTGTGACCCAGCAGTCCCTTCTCTCTGGCAACCATCAGTAACAGGTGGGCAGTCCCCAATGCACACTGCTTCTATTTTCCCAGAACAGGCCGCAAATAATAAAAATTGCCTCTTTTCTATTTTAAAAAGTAGAACTGCTTACAAGAATTCTCATTTTTTTAACTTAAAAAAAAACCCAACTCAATGCATACACATGACTAATGAAGTTCTTAGATACTAGGAGACTGTGCTGACATCCAATATACAAGGATTTTGCTCCTTTTTAAAAAAAAAAAAATTCTTTTGACCACAATAGCTGAGCTTTGTCTTAGTTCTAGAAATTAGACCCAGAAGAGTCTTTAGTAAATACTTCCTGCTTTCCAACACCACAATATTTCTCTCTTAAGTAACAGACTTTATGGTTCTCTAATGAGACCATTAAACTTTTGTTATGCTTTAACAACATAATTTGTTAATTCTTAATGTTGTCAACAAATGGCCCTAATAAGTATCTTCCAAGAAGATCATGATCAAAAACATAAAAATGTAACTCTCCCCGGATTCAAGGACCTCTTTCAAATTGGCAAAGATTCTGGCATCATGAAATGCTGGTGATTGTGCAAGAGTCTGCCTGTATCTGTTCGGCATTATTAAGATGGATGGGTGATTAGAAGCAAATGTTGTTTCTGTCATTTGCCAACTTATACACAGCCTGGAAAGAGAACTGTATTGACCTACGTTTTTGGTGAACTACAGCCAAATATAAACATTCACATAAGACCACATTTTCCTAATTCCCTCCTGGACCTCTCTGCCACTCTTTTCAGGAACAGTTTAACTTTGAGGACTTGCTGTAATTCAGTCTTTTTATCACATCTGTTTGAAGCTCAAATAATATACGGATTCAACATCCTTGACATGTATTTGTTGTTTCTAATTGCCAATTTCTAACCATTAAGGGAAAGCCAGAGAAATTTTGCAAACTTTAGCTGGTTCTGCCCATTGTAGTTAATGTCTGGTAATGCTCAAAATCACAAAAGTGACCCATCCAAGAAATAACTCAGAATAAAAATGCTAAGAGACCTGAGTCTGAATTCCAGCTGTGTCTCACACAGTTTGGTGACCTAAGGGAAGAGTCATTCATTCCTGCAAACCTCAGTAGAACAAGGGTTGGACTAGACCATATCTCTGTGTCTTTCCTCAGAGTTCACATCCGTGAAAACTCTCACATAATGTCAAAGATGACATGCTAATTGGTATTTTTTTTACCTTTTCCATACTTAATCAACTTGGAATCAAGTATGTATTTCAGGGACAAGTT